CCCTTATATTTTGTGCTTGTATTGGTTTCCACAGTTACCTTCTGCGCGATGCTAAGAAATCAACCAAGTGCAGAACAAAAACACGAAAAGGCAAAGATCCTCTTTGGAACGAACAGTTCTTAATCGTTGGCGTCAATTATCATGACATAAAGCGAAGAGCGCTCGAAGTATGCATCGCCGACGGTCATTTTTCCAGCGGAAAAAAGGAAAAGCTTTTCGGGGGTGTTCGGCTCAGTCTCGGTTACAAGGCAGTCGTGGCTGCGCAAACCAAGCAAGTTAATCAGGTGCTGCGGTTTCTAAAAGGAAAGGAAGCGATGAGTGGTGATGTGAACTCGAGCTTTGGTAAATGGAAGAGAGCAAGTGGTAGGAAACCTGTGGCGGATGACACAGGACAGGCAACAGAAGAGGAGAGAAATGAAGGCACAGAAACGATAGATAGGCCAGGAAATGCAAACAAAGTGGATGAAAAAAGTGTTGTCACTGACATGGCAAATAGTAAAGATGAACGTGAAGAGACAAAGCAGGAAATTGTCGAGAGTGGACCGCAAAGTGCATCGTCTGCCAGTACAGAAGTAATGGCGACGGACCCTGTCCCAGATCCCTCTCAGGATGAGGCCAAGGCGAATAACACCAGAAACCGCTTGGCTGAGCAACGCCTTTTCGAAGCAGTGATGGCATCTATCAAGCACCTAGAACTCGCCGCACGTCAGACTGTAACGCAGTCAGAGTCCAGCGAAGAACAAGACAAAGGACTTGAAGAAAAACTTGAAAAGCAAGAATCTCCCGAGATTTCCACTCAGAGCATCAACAACGGCACTGATGAAGGAAATAATGATTCGCAAGAAGCAGATACTAGTGATCCAACCCCTAACGCAGTAGAAACAGCAGACGAGAGTACAAGAAATGAAAGTTGGAGAAGGAATTCATTGGATACAACTAAAAATTCCAAAAGCAAGAATGTCCAAGAGAAGAACATTTGGAACGAAGATCAAACTCAACGATGCAGCGACCAAGCTGAAGACTTGCTAAATGTGATCAAAAATCATATAGCCGATAGAGAAAATCTGCCAACAAATGAACCCGAAAATTCCCGAACGGAACCCGATCAAATATCGAATGGACACAAAGGCAATGAAGATCAATGTACTGATGAGAGAAGCGCTAAGAAAGAAGAAAGTTTTCCTAAAAAAGGGTTGAATCCTACTGATACTAAAACAGATAACTCGGTAGAAATTCCTAAAGAAGAGCCCAAACATTACTCTAAGCATCCCACTCAGGAAATAAAAACGGAAAATCCTGAAAGCGAAAACAGTCTACCACAGAAGTCGACGATTTTGAAGAAATCGTCTGCAGGAGGACCAAACGACATGAAGCGGAGCTCATCCTTCACCTTGAAAGATATCGGAAAGAGGCTAAGCTTTAGGCGCAGCAGCAAATCAGAAGTCAGCGGAGATAGCAGATTGGAGACGGGCTTACAAACAAATGCAGACAAGATGATGTTAGATGCTCAAGGACTCGAAATAACCCAATGGACGCTTGTCGTGTCTCGGCCGAAGGAGTGGCACTACTGTTGGCACATCCTCAGATCTGAAATGACCATTCTACACTAGACATTAATCTCGTCAATCGTTAAGGAGCCTCGATTAGTCAGAGGGCTGGTCAATTATGCTCTAACCGCTGATTAAAAGGCACTTAGAGACAGGAGGGCTCAAGTCTAGGCTTGCCTCGGTCAACACTAGCCGTGGAGGTCTGGGTCGAGCATTGATATAAAGTGCAAGGAAAGGCACAAACTTAATAATTAAATTAGGACTTTGAAGTCATAAAGGTGAAGTTGAGTGTAGATGTTGACTTAACAATTGCAATCTACTTCGTGTTCGACATCGAGTAGGTTTAGCTCATACATCTCCTACAGGTAATCTGCTGAACTGTCAACTACAAAAGCATCCATAAACGTTAAAATCGAGAAATATGACCTGATCTTTTTGTTAAGGATCTTAGTCATTCTTATTTATGATAATAACTTTGTTAATAGCACTATTAACGAAAGTATATTAATGATGATATTAGAGATATAATAGCAATTATAATGATAATGAGTGAAAAATGATGTAAACTAAATCATGACCACCAGTAGGTTAGTTTCCTACGTTTTCTCACTTTTTAGTGTTAGGTATATCAGCTTTTAGATTCCATAAATGATATCTTCCATAAATCTGCTACAAAAATCTAACAACTGATATTAGATGCGCATGCATGACAAACCTGCGTTTTTCACTTTCTAATAACTTAGTGAATAGTCGTAAGAGTTTTAATGTTTATTATGAAATTATATTAAATGTTAAGGAATTTTTAACCGCATTCATTTGAGAATTAAAAATTAAGAATAAGAAAAAAATTAATTACTTGTCTCTGTCGTCTTTTTTTTTTTTATCTCACAGGATCAGTTCTGTGCATATGGTATACTGCCATTTGCAGCGTTCCACTTAAAGAGGCTTTCAATAAGTTTCACCCATGAAGATTTTTAAAACACTTCAGTATTTACAAGCTTGAAACATTTTATTCGGCGTCTAAGAACTAGCTCCAGAAGAGATAAGAAAACATAGCCTGACTGGGTTAAGACATAACGGGAACTTTGTTTCTCGGATAGAAACTGAATAAGTGCGATATTGTAATCAAAATCGCCTGAATTTAACTCTTCTTTACATGACAGAAGTGGCTAAAAAATTGCTTCAGTATTGTTGTATGACTGTTTTTTGTAGCATTACACTTTCTGCATCGTCGCTGGAAATAATAAACCGGGTTTCGTTTATTTTCGAAAAAGCCGCTATTTTAATGGGGAGTGGGACGGGGCGGATTTTGCAACGATGGAATCAAGGTTTCAGTTGGAAAAGAGGGTTCCAAAATACGGCAGAATAGAATCACATCCGGGAAGATTATTGAATTATTTGGGCCCCAGATGATGCCCTGCATCAATTCATTTTGAAGCATTTGATTTAGCACAAGAGATTATAAAGTTCAGTTATATTATCTTGATCTAGCAATAACCCCCACTCTAAATATGATGTTTTTATAGCTCACGCGCGTTCTATAAACATTTGAACGTGAATCCAGAGTTGAAACTGGTTTGAATTTGACACATTGGAGTCAACTAAAAGACTTCCTTGGAAGTCTAAAAGTATAAAAATTTCAATCGTGCTTTGGTTTCTTTTTCATCTTGGTTCTTCCTTCTCTTTAAGAGTTTTCCCGTAAAAAATTCGTCAAAACAGCAGTTCAAAGGGAAGAGTTTTATTCACATTATTATTCCCCAAAGTCACTCCTTACCCTCGTTCTCGCGTTGTGGTTCCCCTGACTTTCATTGAGACACATGGAATGCGGGAAATTTTGCGCATGACTGTTTGAATGACGGAGAATACAGATAAAGCCGCAAAAACGAAATTGCAATGCGTGTGGTCGACTGCTGTTCAATTGGCTATAAAAACGTTTAAATTAAAAATCTCTTAGGATAAATTATTCTGAAAGCGCCGCAGTGCTAGCTTCCGTGCATTTATTACTAAAATTTTCGACTGTTTTCAAATAAAACCTGAAGCTTTTTTGATTTAACGACGGTACAAAAACAAAAGCACTCTCCTGGTGTTTTTTTCACGGAGAGCCTAGATTTCAAAACGAAGTGTAGACCAGAAATTAAAGAAAAATAATAATTATTCATTAGTGGAGATGAAGTTTCCTTTGACAACTAAATTTCGCACGTACACGACTAAAACTACTTGAAAACAGCTTTAGAATGCGAATCGCATTCATTGAAGGTCAACAGTGACTTTTTCTCCATATGTAAAGTGATTGAATTTGTCAGAATTTCATTTCGTTGTAGAATTGATTACAACGCTCGACACCTCTTTCAATTTTCGAATCCTTCCCGTTGACGGCGGCTTCTTTGTGGTGAAAACCAATCATGACATCAGTGTGAATTTTTGTGGCATGTCATTAGTTTTCTTGTCAGAGAATCACTTACGGGCGCAGTGCAGATGTTTCGCTGAAGAATGTTTGAAATTCATAGCAAACTTCTGTATTTGAGGTGCTTTAGAGAGAAGAAAGGAATTCTAATAAAAAAACTGCGAGAGGAAAACACGCTTAATCTAATAAGCTCAAAATAAACCCTTTCAGCGTCACTTTTTTTTTTCCTGAAGCTTTTCCTTTCATCAAAAAAAAATTAAACATTTTCTGCCTCGATTACGCAACTGTTCACTGATTATCTTCACAAGTTATCCTTGCAGATTCTGCAAGTTACGTTTCATCGTTTTTGTTTATACTTCGAGTGCAATATTTTTTTTACAGTTTTTTAACATGTATTTTCATTTATAAGTACATCAATGAGAGATTTCATCAATGTTTACATTCATTCTGGTCACGAGTATTTCGGAAGTAGTTCATTGCTGGTACGTTTATTATGACAACGTCATTTGCAAACGTGAGATCGATCGACAGACGACGAAACTGAAAAACAAATCGCTCTTTTTGCGCTGAAAAGCCAGTAGTTCCGCCATACGGTGTGATAAACCTTCGCTGAACAAATGTGAATGCCTAGATCGGGAAATATTTTAAGTGCTCGTCGCTGGATCCAACAAAAATGTCCAAAAAACAAAAAAATCTCGCAGCTGGCACGTTGCGCGGGAAAGAAGCGTTACTCGAGTGGTGCAAGCGACAAACGGTGGGATACAAGAACGTTCGTGTGTCTAACATGACAACCTCATGGAGAGATGGATTAGCCTTTTGTGCTATAATACACCGCTACAAGCCGGACCTCATGTAAGAACAATCATGTTCTCACTTCACATTAAGATAGGAAACAAAAATTCTTGACTTCCCTGAGTTTTTCAGATTATATCGTATGTTAATTTAAATGTGAAAAAGGTTAAATTTAATCTGAACTCTCGATCTAAGCTGGTTTTGTAGCATAAACGAGTTGCGTTTGAATCGAGCACTTGCATACAAATTTGCAAGAAATACAAATTTCGAAACAGTATTATAATCTCCCATTTAATATTGGGTATCTTAAGATGTATTTCAATTGACTACCAGCTCTCGATCGCAAACGTTTCAAACCTCCATAAAGCAATCTGCATATAACAAAATCATCATGGGCTAAATTTCACAAAATTCGTAATCGTAGAATGCAAACCTGTTCTGTTTCTGACAATATTGGAAAATAATCCTATGCCAAAATACGTTTTTCCTAAGCGCTGTTTATGTCTACACTTGATGTGTGATATTGCAAAAACAATAATTGGTGTTTGCGTCTGAATACTCATACTTCAGACGCAATCAAAACATAACAAGTGATGTAAGCTTTGTTTTTATTAACATATCTTTGAATGTCGGAGAAATTTGAGCTGCCTACAATGAAACCAAACTACAGATAAGCCGAACGTGTACAGGTCCGGCCCTAAATTGCAGATTTCAAGAAGGTTTGGGTTTCAGAATGTTTCAGAACATAGCATCATCGGAGGAAATACAAAATTAAGAAAATGAAAAAGAAAAAAGCGCAATCTAAAGACTCGTGATTGCTAAAATGCGTCACGTTTGCGGAAGATTTCCGGAATACCCACATGTCCACTATCGGATGTAGATATTTCACTTAGCCCTTTACATCCTACAAGCGATGAACGTGTAAATTTTCCTTACAATATAGACCACGAAATTCTCCAAATCAGTTATAACTTAGTGTACCGTAGCTGGAAAGGAGATTTGCAAAGTAGATCAAAGGTCATAGGACGGGCAAGCTGGATTCATCTCCTTCGTTTTTCGATGGCAGTATTCTAATCAATTATGATCGTTCTCGCTATAGGTCGCAATCGAGTATTAACTTAATTTCCGTGTCGGTGTTCGGTCTTCACTCACAAGCTGTACTACCGATCATTCTTTTATTTCAGAGATTTTCAGAATCTATCGAAGGAAGACATGTTGAAAAATAACGAACTGGTAAGCTGAACTACTTTTAATATTTATAATGCATTTTCATTGTATGTTTTTGAAACAGTCTTCGGCATGAAGAATATTAAACATTTCTCTTTCTCTCATTATTACTGAAATTGTGACAGAAAATGAAAGCCTGTCAGCACAAATGTTGATAAGTTCTTCCTGTCTGATATTGTAATAATGCCAATTTTTGGCAACTATCAGAGTTTGGTCAAAACAAAATTAATCAAAAGAACACGAAGTTTGGCTCGATGTCAGCGTATGACCATGATAATGAGAATGATGTTTTATCAGCAACAATGCTAGGTGGGCCACACCCACTTGAAGATAAAGGCAATCCCTAGTAGATAAATGTGTAAAAATTTAGACTAATCTTGCTCTCTTTGCTTAAAAAAGTAACTTCGATTGCAAAACGAGTGGAGTCCTAAGCGTTCTTTAGACTGGGCGATGAAATGCTGGGGTTGAAATGATGTCAATGAAATGAATGCGAGGCATGCCGGGAAGGAAGACCTCCTATAGTCGAAAAAAGTTGTGTTTTTACATCGAATAGAGATGGCTATACTGAAAATAAATTACTGCAAAAGATGGGCTAAAAATTTTTTCCTGCGATCTGCCACTATTGTAGATCAGTCAATTATATCGTTTTTTTTTGGGGAAAAAGACCGTCTCAAAAATTAATACGTCCTCTTAACACACAAATTTTGTCTCGTTACCAGGCTTTTAAGGTAGCAGAGGAACAGCTCGGTGTCCCCGCTTTATTGGACGCGAGAGATCTGGTGTCTATGGATGTCCCGGATGAACAAAGCGTCATGACTTATCTTTCTTCGTTGTTTTTCAGTCTAAACAACTTCAAACCTTCAGGTAACATAAGTTTGGTTTTCAGTGTTTTGTGACTGATACCTTGCTGTTATTTGATACAATGTTTGTCGAAAAGTGAGTTATTGTTCACAGAATCGTGATTGTGGCTTTTCGTTACTTTGCAGAAGACACAGCGGAAATAAACAACAATACGATACCGAAAGGTAAAAATGAAATTTATTTTAAAGCAACGAAACCTCACGTTTTGCGTTGTATTTAAATAAAATCATTAAGGAAAAGGGCAGAAGTGGCGGCCTGTGGCTCGCTGGATCTTGAGTTCTGGGTATCTAATAGAGTCTTAATTGACTAGTTACCCATCCTGACTAGTTACCCATGTCTCGTCTTATAAAAGCCCTAGGGCGTAGTTGCCTCTAACTGCCACAGCACATCGATGATTACTTACCCTGACGAGACAAAGGTTATTACTAGTCAGGGTAAGGAAACACCAATATGCTGGGCAAGGCATAATGGCAACTACACCCTTAGGTTTACCTTGAAGATAAAATTCGCCTCCGATTAACTTCAACCGAATTGTTTCTTGACAGGGAGGCCCAAGCGATATCTGTTTGATATTCTGGCCGACGAGGCATACAAGCGACGGTTCAAACTCAGACAGCGCGAGGTAGTCGAGGAACCTTGTAATGATACCGAAGTGACTGCTTAACAAACGATTTAGAATGGCTACTTTTTTAAAATGAAAATGAATATATGAGCCAGTCAAGTCGTGTCTTGGAGATTTCAAGCGCTCAGAAACATTGCTGTGTAGTATGATGGAGTAATAAATCGAACAATGTCGAATGCTAAGGTGCCCTTGTGGGAAAAATATTGCAAATCAATATTAACCATGGAATTCTTTCCAACTATACTTGAAAAGGAAACCACGTTTGAATTTTGCTATAATGAGCAGAGCACTTCTTCAGGCAAAACTAAAAGCTCTTTTAAAAGTATAACCTTGACAAGTACCCGGCTTTCTTGGAGTAGCTTAGATTTAAAAATCTGTCACATTTGTATGTCATTAAAAGAAAGATAAAAGATTAAAGCCTTCAGAGAATCTCTATCATGAAAACCGGGGTTATTATCTCAGACGGGACCTGGGAACAAGATCACATGGTCTTCAGCGCCAGAAGTTTGCGGTTTCATTAAGGGTTTCCTTGAAAAACCAGGTGCTAACTGTCACTGCTCTAAACGCCAATATTGCGTTTTTCCGATTCTCGACATGAGTCAAAAACAACATTTTTCTTGCAAAATTAAAATTCGAGACTTATTTAAAAGATACAGCTCCTATAGCGCTATTTTTTTCAGCGCAGTTTTAATTAAGATGGTTACCGTTTTATTTTCAAGGCATTCAGATAAAATTGCACAGGTATCTAAGCACATTTTCAATGTTTTGACGTTTCCCTGGTGAAATGATGAAAATTTCGAAGATAAAGTTTTAGTAAATGATGGCTATCTGGTGCTGTTTATGCAGCTGCCTACCGAGCCGAAACAAAAAAAAACCTCAATAATGGATGAGGACGACTTGTTATGATAAGCAATTTGCAAACGGATGAGTTTTTGCATCAGATAACTGACAGACACTCGCAAACCCTCGTAATCAGCCAATGAATTTTTCGGTAGTTCAACCATTATTCCAGGTCGCTATCAAGCGATAGGTTATAATCAGTGGAAAAGATCTGGCTTCAACTGTGAAGTTGAACGACAAATTAATCGAGAACTTTAACCGCACTGTTCAAAGGGTGACACAGCAATCGGTCGAGGAACTTCGTCTAATCGACACAGAAAGCCTGTTGGCAAACCATGACGACTAACAGCAATACAAGGTCTGCATTCCGAGTGGTTGGGCTTCTTGTTATGCTTGGGCTTCTTCATTTTTATGCAGATCGAGAAGGAAACAGGCAGAAACTCTAAGAGTCAAACATTAGAGGACTTCCTACGTCGGTGGAGTAACACGTATAATCTGTCCCAAGAAAATATCACCAATCTGCTTAAAGATTACGACGACACGAGGGAGAATGGAGCGAAGCCAACATGGACATTCTTAAATTCTGTTTTCTACGTTTTACAGCTTGTCACTACAATTGGTAAGAGAGAAATAGTTGTGAATTTACACCAAAATCGTCTACCTTTCCTGATCAGCTTAGGCACTGCAGGTGCAGAAATATTTTTAACAAGAATGAGTTATTTCATCGAGGTGCGATGCAAATTAAATACATTTTGAACATTTTCTTTCGATATGAAAGTTCCCTTCCAAAACACAGATATTGGACCAGTGGAACAACATATTCCTGATAAACTCACAACCTTTAAGCCACCCTAAATGACCAGTCTTCAACCTGTGCTGCACCGAAACTTTAGAACGCGCTATTACAATCAACAAAGAGCGTGAATACCATCGCTAATTCCAATTGAAGAGTAAAATGTCACCTTTTACGTCCGGCACGACAACCACAGATTTTTACTATATTTGTCATTTTTCCATTAGAGTCCTAGCTTCTTCATCGATAGGAATCTTTTCCTTTTCAAAATTGTCACACGCACTTAAACATTTTAAAGAAATTTGCATGTATGGGTTTATCATTATTTCTATTATCATTACACTCAAAATTATCAATATTATAATTACCGTTCTGTCATTATCGTTAGTATTAGTATAGACCACACTGGTAAATAGTACTTTTCGCGCGCGCTGATCGGCTTGTTCGGATGTGAATAGCAAGTACTATCCGCCTCCGAGCAGCCGATGAGACATATTCGTGTGTCAAGGGCTTATTTCCGACCATTTTTTTGTATATTGAAAGAAATAAACTAATACCAATTTTTTTGTATCTGTGTGGTATAAACTAAAAAAGTTGTTCACCGCAGTGTCGTTGAAAATGATAGATATTAACCTCGCCGCTTCATGGCTCAGTAAATATCCAGTACTATTTACTACTACTTCGGTGAATAACTGTTAACTAGAAGACATGTTCTCTTGTTGTTGCCTATTGCTACTAAAAAAATCAGAATTTCAATAAAAGCGGAGCAGGTATCTACTGCTGCTTACAAGACCACTAACCGCCGTCTGTTTAGCCTGCCATCAGGCTGTCGTGATTGGGTTTCGCCTTAAATACGGTTCCTTTTACGGGCATAGATGGGTGCGACTTTATCAGCAGCCGCTCATGGAAAAAATGATTGACACCCCTACTGTTATCGTCATTATTTACATCTTTATTATCATTTTTTATCACTAGATATCACCACCTTTCCATTATGAACATCGAAGAGCCAAATTTTTATTGTTGCCGTGGCGCTCAGCTTAATTCTTTCATAAGATACCCAAAACACTAAGACAGACTGCCCCATTATTAATTTATTTAGTCATTAAATATTTTCTTCATTTTCTTTTACTTATTCATTTGTATCATTTCCCCTTTTTTCGACAGGATATGGAAACATAACGCCCACGACAGAAAGCGGTCAAATTTTAACTGTTATTTATGCGCTGGTAGGAATTCCATTCACAGTTTTGGCTCTAAAATCAATTGGAGAACTTGTAAACAAAGCCTTAAAATCGGTGACCCGACCACTGCATAGGAAATTTCACAGTAAAAACTGCCAAGAACGTGCCTGCGATTTTATGGAAACTGGAAATACCTGCATCAATTTAGTGTCTTGCATTGTAACCTGGATCATTGCTTGTGCACTGAACACGCATTTAGAATCAAAACAAAGTTTTATCACGAACTCTTATTCCATTTTTGTGACCTTAACTACTGTCGGATTTGGAGACATTATTCCGTTTGAGGATCACTTGTATGTTTTCATTATAACCGTTTTACCCGGGTTGTGTTTCATGTCCAGTTTGATCGACTCGATTGTAGCATACTTGGATAAAACCCGAGTGGCTACCACACGATCTTTTAGCCTCGCGGGGTGTTGTTCAGCTAAAAACGAAGCGAGGATAACGGCAGAAGTGGATTTGAAAAACAATCAGACACTGGAGAACAACACTACCTTTTGATGGGGCATATAGAGGGCTTCCATTAGCTGTCATACATATGTCAGTAAAGTTGCCATGGCGATAACACCAGAACAATTAGAACTAACAGAGCGCCGACTTCCCTTTCGTAGAATGTTTTAAGACAGTTAAATGGGAATAACTTTCACGACAATTACAAGAAAAGTACCAAAAAATTCTAGATCTCGAAAACCATTCAAGATTTCGTAAGAAATCTGCTAAAATGAACCCCTTAAAAGACTCCTTTGTGAGGATCGTCAAGGAATGGAACAAGTTACCTAACCACCTTTTTGGAAACGATACCGACATCAACAGAACAGATTCAAACGAAATTTAAAAAAGCGGATGAACATTAGTTGACTATTCAATTTACTGTTCCCTTTGTCCTGTTTTATTTCAGAGCCGTTCTTGTATAGGTTGTTTGCAGAGATTTTAAAGTGTAAAAATGAGCATAAATTTTAGAAGTAAATTTAGTTAGTTAGGAGGGCCTTTTTAGCCCAAAACGAAGCCATTTTTGTTTTTTTTCGTCTTGTCTGTTTCTGCGGTCAAGCGACACACCCGAGAGCTGATTTTTAGAAGATTAGATGGCGGCTTTTAAAAACGTTGACATCATACCTTCAAAACAAAATGCTTTATTGGATTTCGGCTTCCTTGATTGAGAGGTCATTTGAACTTTGTTATTTTTATTGAGTTTAGCGATTGTTTCAATCACACGGCTTTGCATAATTTGAAACTGTGGAAAAAAATTATATAAAAATGGGTTATGTCATGTACTAAGCTGAACACTTCGTAACGTTTCAAAAGATGTAACGTTGTATCATTTATTTATTTGCACTTCGCACGCAAAGATCGCGCTAATGTGATATTGCCTAGTTTATATAAAAAATTAATTGGACACGTGCAAAAACTAACTTGATTTGAGGAGGAAACGTGGTCTAAACTAGAAACGAATGGCGTGATGTTGAAGGAAAGAGCTTGGATCCAAATCAATTGTGAATGCATACCGCTGTCTCTCTTGGTTCTAGATGACCTATGATGACCCACGTGTTAAAACCAACGGGTTTGCAATAGCAATTCAACACTTGTTTTCAAAGGAAATGAAATATTTTGTTTTCAAAGGAAATTAAATACTTTTTTTTTCAAAGGACATGAAATATTTGGAAAACGTTCTGTTCTTACCCAGAGTGGTAAACACAGAAGCGACTTCAGCGCTCTGCCGCTCTCAACCGAACGGTTCGGCCTACGATTCGCGAGGACTTTTCGTCTCTTCTGGTCATTCGAGTTTATCTTACGCCACTCATCTCTCCAAAAATTTGTCAGGTAAGGCTGAGATAGCGGTGGGCGTGGAAAATAATTGTTAAGCAGATTTGAGCTAGCGCGAAATCAGGGTTTTCAATCCACATGCGTGATATTCACTGCGAAAACGCAAGAGCGAATTTGAACATTGCACGCGAGTGGGGCGACACGCGCGGAAGAAGCTCTTTCTCACGCTTTTACTCCCCAAGAAGTGGCTGGCACTGTTGGTTGTAAAAAAAAAATTCATAACTGCATTAGACATGTCTGAGAGTTTTTAGTAAATAATGACCGTAAGATCAATGTAATTGTGTACCTAAGACGATGCCTCAGGATTTGTAACAGGTTATTTTTCTGTAATGTAATTCACCACGCTTCTCGTTGTCTATTTCCCAAATATTTTGCCGTAGGTCTGTTCAGTAACAAATCACAGAGGACGTCGAAATATATGGTGACACACTCGGTAGAGATCTCGAGTTATAATCTTATTGTTATCTATACATTTCTAATATGAAATATGGCTTAAAAGTTTACACTCGCACTATAATTCCTTAAAACTGCTCTTAATACAGTTATTTAGCTTACTTTGAATGAAAAAGGTCAGATTTATGACAAGGGCTCTTAAGGTTATTGTTTTCTTTACCACGAATAATTTAACTATTGTTTTTTTTTCTCGAACAAATTCTCAGCGACCACGGTGTGTTTATCAGCCGAAACCCAAATCCAACATGGGGAAAACGGATGCCATTCATGTTCTCCTACAGGCAACTTGCCTCGTTCTCATCTCCAGACCTCACCTCGTCGAAACAAAAAGAACCTTCCAAGCAAAAGAAACGGTCATTTTGGTTTCCATGGATGGATTAGGCTGGCAATTTATCAGCGGCCAGTTTGTAGACACTCCCCATCTCGACGAGGTCGGCAGGGAAGGCGTCCGTGCAAGGCACCTCTTCAATGTGGTCCCAACCAAAACTTGGCCGAATCACCATTCCTATATGACGGGACTTTACCCAGAGAGCCACGGGATTGTCTCAAATAAGTTCTGGGATCCTGTTTATCAAGAAAAATTTATTTACGATTATGATTGTTCAGACAGCGACCCGAAGTTCTACAATGCTTCCGAACCAATCTGGTTGACACTACAAAAGCAGGGTGGGCGTAGCGGGATTGACTTCTGGCCGGGAAGCCGCGGCTATCCAGAAAAACCCATTTTCTACGAGAAGCCCTTTTGCAAAGTCCGAAATACCGTAACAAAACGTGTCCGTCGTGGTTAGGTTACAAATACATTCATTGTGTCTTCAATTACACGGAACCTTCTCAGAGCCGAATCGATAAAATCATCAACTGGCTCAAATCGGACGAACCACCGCAGTTTGTGGCGCTGTACATCGATCACCCGGACTGGGAGGGGCACGATTATGGCAGTTATTCAAATGAATACAAACGAGCCATTGAAAAAGTCGATCGCGATGTTGTGGGTTATTTCATTGATCGATTGCGTGACGAAGAGCTTATAGACACAGTCAACTTGATGTTCGTCAGCGATCACAGTTTTAACAACGTCTCTTCAAAGCGACTCATAATTCTCGACGATTACATCGAACAGTCTGCGTACATGCTGACGGAATCTGGGGCACTCGTACATATTTGGCCGAAAGATGGTAAACTGGACGAAATTTATGACAACCTCACTAAAGCCAAAAACACGCACATGACAGTTTACAAGAAGGAAGACATCCCAGATGAGTACCACTGGAAACACAATCGCCGCATCCCTCCTATATTCATCAATCCCGAAGTGGGTTGGGTTATCGAGCAATCCCGCGGGAACAGAGCGTGTCTTGGGTTCACGGGACACACGCCTGGCCGCCTCAGGAGAGTCGCAGCTACCCAATTTTCTTTGCCCGTGGTCCCGCGTTAAAAAGGATTTCGAAATTGCGCCGTTCAAGACACTCGATCTCTACCCTCTGATGTGTCAACTTCTTGGAATTGTGCCTCAACCGAACAATGGCTCACTGGAAAATGTCATGCCTCTTCTTCTGCAAGAAACCACCGACCCACCGACCACAGACCCACCAGCCCCAGACCCACCAACCGCTGGTCAAGCGGAAGTAAACATGCAGGGACTTCCGGTTTTGATGGCGATATCTATCTGCTTGCCAATTCTTATTTTGCAAGCTTTCCAGTACACTTAATATTCGAACCTTTTGCCCGAAATTCATTAAAGGTGGTACTAATTAAGGGGGCAACGACTTAAAACCTTTGAGGAAAAGCACATACACTTTCCATTAAAAAGCCTGTCTTAGCTTCTGTTTTAGTCGCCATAGGTTTTCAAAACAAAGATATGCAAACTATGTCAGGTATTCACTAATTCTGAGTAACAATCCAGACAAAAACAGTACTTTTTTTTTTATATCAAAGCCCTCTGTAAGTTTTTCATCAACCCCTCCTCCCTCTCTCCCTCCCTAATGTCAAAATGTCACTCTAGGTGAGCATAACATCAGATAAATATCCTAAAGAGAAGAATTATTAGTCATCAACTAAATTTATTTACATTCTCTACCATTTCAGCACTGGGTTAGCTTTGTATCTATCATAATCTTCTTTCTTGAAGAAAGATATTTCTGTTTCATGTCCTGTTAGGAAACAAGAAGATTTTATGGTTATGAACAAGGTGAAAGTAAATAGAGGATGTTCATTTTTAAATGGATACAATTAACCGAAAAAAAAAATTTCTGCTAAGGTTATGTTGAACATTTAATTATTAACAGGTTTATGGTTTCTTAATCCAGGCCTTGGACCCCTAAGAGTGACCAGCATGCAGTTTCTCCTTACATTATCACCCCTGAATCAAACAGTTAGGTCACAAGAATAGAGAGAATGATCATCAGCTAAAGGACCTCTTGATTGTTTAACAAATTCTCCTTATCAGCACCTAAGAAAATGTATAGAGAACAGTATGGAGAATATGCATACTGATGTTAGGGTGTAAAGGGGTTAATGCTCAGAACTAAGTCAGTGCAGCAGTTTCACCAATTTTTTACTGGGAGGGGAGTCCAGGGAGACTTCACTCAACTTGTTACCCAACATTGCTGATGCTATGGAAACCAGGTTTAGCGAAAATATTGTGGGGAACTCACCAATTCCATTCTTGGAAAGACTGCAGTCCTGTCTAAGCATAAGCATCTCATCATTTTCTGTGTTTATCACTGGATCACTTGTCTATTAAAATAAATTTGTGTTAATCACCACTTAACTCCCAAGATCT